ACTTCCCATATTGCGACGCGAAAGCCGAGTTGCACATGGACGACTTTTTTTCGATGGAGACTGATGCCTTTGCTTTGCATCTGCTGGACTGGTTTGGTTCAGACGATATACTGCTGAAATCCCCTGAGCTGGATAGGAGCCACACGCATCTACAGCAGACGCAGTTCCCAGTCACTGTCAGCCATTGCCCGACCAGTCCAGTGAGCACCGATGACGACACCACAGACGCTGAAGTGCTGACGCCGCCTCCTGCTTTTCAGCAGCATTTGCTGTGCTCTTTGCCGAAGGAGGTGGACATGATGTCGTTTCTTGCAGCGAAAGTGTTGCTCTTGGGCTCGTCCATGTTGACGCACTCGCCGCTTTCCAGCGGACAGAAGCTGCTGTCGCCTCGGACGCACAAGGTTATTGACAAAAGTAGCAGCAATAATAACAACAGCTCAGTGACGTCAACACCAATCGATGCAGCCAATTCGATGCAATCAATCGACAAGACGCAGCCAATGCCAGTATCGAAGCCGTTGTCTGATGCTCTTTCCTATGCCTTGCCTGTGGCATACTTCGCACCGTCATTCAACGTCAACCAGAAGCGGCCAATCACTCCCGTCCTTCCGGGCGCGACGTCACTCAGCACGTGTAATTCTTCATTGTCTTCTGCTACTACTGCTGCTGCTGCAACCAACGATTCGTACGCGATAAAATCCAAACGCGAGATTCGCCAGATGAAGAATCGGGAGAGTGCTAACAAGAGCCGTCTACGTCGCAAAGCACAGCTAACGAATCTAACGGCGAGAGTCGCCGAGTTTAAAACGAAGGAGAAGGAGATGCTGATCATCATTGCAGGTCTGCGAGCTGAGAACAAGTCATTGCTGGACCAGAACATGTTTCTGCGCTCGTTGGTAACGAGCTGCAAGCAGGAGCATGCATCGTCTCACAGCGACCACCAGCTGGCTGCTTTCGTGTCACTGCCAGATCAGAGCTGCGTGGCGCTCAACATGCTGGAGAGTGTCCAGAACATGGATGTGGATGATGAATCACAGGCTGCGGATTTAGCTGTCATGACGCCGCAACCAGACAAACGGCGTACTATGGCGTCCACGTTATCAATGGCAAGTGTGGCGGTGTGTGCGTCCGTGTTTGGAATAACTGTTTTCGTCGACTGCGATGGCACTGCCGTCGATGCGGGCAACGTTCGTGGCGTTGGACGCGTGCTGCATGAGGCTCCGACGCCGTGTGGTATAGAAGAGTGCTCTTTTGAAGCATCGATGTCACCGTTGAGGTTCGTGGCGACGATGATGGGATCTTGGGGACAGTTAGTGTCGTCTTCAATCGTCCGAATTAATGTTCGGTGTGTTGCTAAACGTGCTGTCCTTCGTTGTCATCGTGGCGCTGTATCAGCTGTGGCAGTCGCATTCAGCAGGTTTTGCGGTCCTACCAAAGTCTGGACGTCGGCATGCACAGCAATAGGCAGAATTGTTGTGGAACAGCTTGTCTGCAATTGACAAGTGCAAAGCGAAGCGGAACGAAAGTGGGTCGATATCCTGTATGACTCGCGAGAATCCGAATGGTAGCTATTACAACGCTAAGGCGTAATTTCCTCCTGTGCTCGTAAAGGATTGTTTTCCAAGCTGCGCTGTGGAACTGATGCGGTGCAAGAAGATGCATGAAAAGTTTTGAAGAGCTACTTAGTAATGGTCAACTTGCCTCCATGATCGAGTAGTTGGGAGCAAATTCGCATCAACGACTGCAGAACTTGCCTCAAATGTACGATTTTTATAAAGCGGTTTGTTGGAACCTGGTCGACAGTTCAATTGAGGACGACAAGTGGGGTAGTTGACTCTCATCGATTGGCATATCGGTTCAGCCATTTCTCTTGTAGCGCTACGCTGCTTAGTTCGCTCGTTTAGCAAGCAGACTCTCATATTGACACAAGCCGGAGTTGGTCGTGACAAGACCATGTCGAAAGGATTAGGCCATGTGTGCTAATTACATAATAGAAAGTTAACTTTGTGCGCTGGTAGTAGTAGCAGGACGATCACCGTCTGTTGTCTTGCGCTCTAATGTCCGTGCAAGGAGGGCTAGTGCTCGTGTCATAGCTTCTCGCTCACTAGTACGGGAGGACTTCATCTGCATACTTAACACGGCTTGCATCTCTGACTCTTTACTATCAGGTTCCAGCTCGATGAAGGCGGCCTCAGGGTAAATGCTACGAATCACCTCTTCGACCTCTTGCACCTCTTTCTCTACAAGACGGGTCACATCCTCTGCGTACCAGGATAGAATGAGTGATAGATCATTTTCCAAATCCTTTGTTTCCAAAAATACCGGCTTGTACCTACCGAAAATAAACAATAAGACAGCATCGTAAGTACCATGTATCAATAGAATGACCAGACCAGCACGCGAACATTCGTAATAGTCTCGCTGCCAAGTACGTTCCATCAAAGTCCACTTTAGCCTACAAATGTCGTATATCCACACAGGTCAGAGCCACAAGACAAGAGAGTACATGCAGAGGTTGCTCTGCGCTGCCGTCTTACCTTGAAGCTAAATGTCGATGGTCCAACCCACTGTGACTGGACAGCATACACGTTGTCAATGGACGGACGTGCCAGCAACAACTCACGGATACCATTCTCAATTTTTGGCTCCACTGACTGACCCAATAGATACTTTTGGTTCAGACGGATTAGTGATACTGCAACACCACCAAGAAGCACACCAATAGAAACACTTGCGAGGCTATCCCGCAGCGTGTTGCCGGTAATATGGCTGGCCCCGATGCCACATCCAGCAATAATAACACCCACACAGGCCGAGAGATCCTCGAGCAGAACAGCCATCATAAACGGGTCTTTCGTCCGCTTCACGTGCTGACAAAGAGACATGTTTTCGGGTTTGGTGGCCAGTAGTTTCTGTACTGACTGCTTAAGCACTCATCCGTCGATGCTGAAAGAAGCCGCAAGCACGCACCAGATCTCCCACGACAGTGTGAGCTCTTTTGGAGGCTCTAGGATCGACTAGATCCCGTGAACAACAGTCACATCGGAGCCTAACCAGAAAATGCCCAATGCAGAGATGAGCGACCAAAAGTACGCAGCGCGTCCGTATCCGTACTGATGTTTCTTGTCCGGTACACCTGACGCTTGCTTCAGACCCAAGATAAGGATAGCCTGATTGCCGGTGTCCACGAGCGAGTGAATAGCCTCTGAAAGCATAGCATTGGAGCCAGTCTTTAGCCACGCTAGTACCTTAAGGACTGTAATGGCTGTGTTCCCCGCCATGGCTCGGAATACCACATCCTGTGACGTCGAGCGGGACACTTTTCCCGGGAAATAGGCCTTATTAACATCCGTCCGTGGCTTAGGCAAAGGATTTATGGGTTCAACAACCTTGATTAAGAATGGTTTCTTGTCCTTGTCCTTCCTTTTACGTAAATCATTCTTCTTGTTAGCTTCTGTATCATTTGGAACAACCATCGCGAACCATCGAAGCAAAGGCTGAGGCGGTGGTAAAAAGAGCGATCTATGTCTCGGGAATGACGACCGATGACACTGAGACATGAATGACAATTGACGCAAGCTTTGGGAATGTCGCAGTGACGACCGTGCTACATGAAGAGACCTTAGCATGACGACAGAATATCTGGTGGGGAATTGATACCCGACTTTCGAATGAATGACGCTAGTGTCGTCGATAGGGTGGGTTCGATGTGGCACACACAACCGTAGTGCGCAAGGCACTGCTGACAAGAAGACGAAGTTTGTCAGCTAGGTAAGGCTACATCACACAAAACAAATTTCTTTGTAATTTCTTTTTAGCAACAAAAACCAGCACTTACTTCCACTATCTGTCCAACAACGTCATAGTAGAAATAATACAAGGACCTCCAATACTTACCATGAAGTAAGGTAAACTTCCCTTCACCAGCTCTCCTCCATCATCCAGATGTTTCCATGGGTTTCTCCGGCTGAAATGTCTTCAAAAACGAACCAAGATCCATCTTTTGCTTACCCGCGTTCAAAAAATAATTCTTTGGATTCTCCATGACCCGCATCATCACATAAATCGCCGCTTTCGGAGAGACTGATTGTTTGAGGTTCAGTATGGCATTTGAGATAAAAGTCTTGTAATGCTCGTAAGACTTGCCAGTATAGCCCTTTTGCGATAACGTTAACACGTGGTTGATCCAAAGCTGTCCAAGCGGATCCTCAGTCAGATCGACTGGTTTCGATAATTTTGATACTGCTCCCAGTGATGAGGTATCCCTCATCATCTTGAATGGCTCCTTCAAGTCCGATGCCTTGATAAAGTCGATACGTTGCTTTACACGTCCCCATTCCTCAATGGTGCTCAACTTTTTAGGATTCCCTAGTTGCCTTAATTCCAATAAATTAAAAACTTGATTTGGCAACAAATGAGATCCAACCCAGTTACCAGTCTGATATTCGAGGATATTTTTGGCTATGTTGCTTGAAGTCTTCGCTTCAGCGATGGTACTTGAAGTCTTTGCTTCAGCGATGGTACTTGAAGTCTTTGCTTCAGCGATGTTGCTTGAAGTCTTCGCTTCGGCGATGTTGCTTGAAGTCTTCGCTTCAACCAGAATCTTTGACAGTTTACTTTCAGATTTGTAAGCATCAACCATAGCTTCAAACATTACTTGGGGCAATGATTGTTTAGTATTTTTGATGCTGCTCTCGACGTATTGTTGCCACACGGGAAACACTGAGCTTTCGAATGGCTTTTCAACCTTATGGAGCTTCAAAAACTCAAAAGCATCCAAGGGAGTTTGTTTCTTGAAACGCACCAACCACAATTTAGCTTTAAGCATTGCTGGGGTCTCAAGTTTTATGTTTTACATCATTCTGATGCAGTGAGGCAGTTAAACTTGACTCTTGTTTTTCTAGAAAGCTTTCGAGTTTCTCAACTTCCAGTACATTTAATCTTCTCACCTCCCCAGTGCTAATTGTCGTCACGTCTGCGGCCGTCCTCAAGTACCTCTGCTGTTTCGAGGCAGGAATTGTCAGGTCTTCGTACAATGCATTTGATGCCTGCAAGATGCGTGGGGTGTCCTCGCGTGACAGATCTGCCGTCGACATTACTATAGTTGAAGGAGCGACGAGCA